AATAAGTTTGAAACTGCCATGGCCATGTTAGGCTTATGCCCTGTGAATATTTAGATTTTTTGGAAAGCTCATCAGAATGCTTAATGTGTTTTTCAAGCAGCACCACAAACTTTCTTGATATATTTCCGTACTTCAAACACCTTTTCGAAAGTTGAAGATAGTCGAGACAAATGTAAACGCTTTTATTGTAGAGCGTTTTGTTTTCTATCCCAAATCGTCATAAACTTCTCGAATAATCAATCCATAGTTTATGGTTTTTAAATATTGTTTAAGAATGTGTTCGCGTTTTTAGACGGAACTGCATTGTTGGTTCCTCCACAAAAAAAACAAAAAGTCATACAAGCATCAAACATTCCTGATCTTTTTGATACCAATATCATTGACCACTTATATCTCAAATCTCCAAGTGTTCTCACAAGTAATGACTCAATCCAAGACCTACATTTTAACCTAGCATCCACAAACGAAAGTAAGAATCGTGCTCGTTTATCTTCACCTTAATGGTTTGTAAAGACGGCCATGGTTTTCTTTTTGTTAGTTTCGTCTGTTATGGCGAAGACATCGACATCACCGATATACTGGTTACAACAAAACGACAATCCTCTTGATCATGATACTCCATTGGTTGATAAGAATTTACCCTTTAAATACAATGGTAAGCAAGAACGTTCTGTTTTTTATTCCTATAGTTTTTCGGAAAGTGAAGAGTTTAGTTTCTGAATGGTCATCAGCTATTGCACAATGACACAGAAGCTTTTTCCTGATACACGATGACATTTTTAGCCCATTCATCTGAATGCACTTTTCTCGTTTGTTAGCAGCCACTTTTTCTTTTCTGGCAATTCCTGGATGACTACGTTAGCCAACCGTCTTAATTCCTACAGTTGACTCACCTTGGAGTACTGTTTGTCATTACAAGACCGCAAATAAGGGGATGGTGCAGATTCACTGAATAATTGAAAAAGTTATTGTTAGTATAACCACTCTACATAAACGGAACTATTTTATATCAGTTTCACACTACTTTAGAGATAAATCCCGTTTTACACCCCCTCTAATATTCGGTTCCTACTTGCGGCCTGGGTCGTTTACCTTTAACAGACTTATATAGAGAAGGTTTGCTAGAAGGTAAACAGCTCGAACTAGTACTGTTTTGGCTTCATACAACTATCTGCTCCTGATTTTTCCAATATCAAATATAAAGTAGCACATGGAAATATTTTCCGGTTCACTGATGACGTAATGGTTGCCGGGAAACTCGAGAGCCCTTTTGAAGAACCGTTGTTCTACCTTAAAAGTTAAGTTTTCTTTGCTAACCCTAATTCAACGCGATCTAGAACTGTTCTGAATGATGACGTTTTCCCTTCTGCTATTCAGCTTCCAGTGATATTATATTATCAAAGTTTAATTACACCTCCTACCCTGTGAAATATGATGTATGTGAAGTAATGATTTGCGATTTTGCTCTGAATAGCATTTATACATGCCGTTCTTTTAGACTCCACTACTAATGGTATGGTTTGCAATTCTTCTGGTAGGTTTTTTAAACACGGAACTGTGGAAGTATTGAAATATGCCGAACATTCATTAATAGGTATTTTTGAGAGGCGAATCAAATCGAACTCTTACGTCTGTAATATCTAATGATCTTTTTCGGGTTTTAGATGATACATTGTATGACGATCAAAATGAAGTTAGTCTCAAAACACCTGGACCCACCACAGTACTGAATACTTTTAGTGTTTTGGGCTATATTCTTGCACATATGCAAGGTAAGCTTGTTTTCACATTATTATTAAATAATTGACTGAAATTCTGTTTTGGCTATGCCAGAATGATAATCGGATTAAAATAATTTATTTTATTTTTCCATCGAAATAATAAAAATTAAAAAGTTAACAAAGAAGAAAAAAGGACTTANTGAAAATGAAAATAAATAAATAAAATTTTCATTTTCATTTTCTTTCTCTGGCCAACTGATGAAGTATTGAAAACGTTTTTGTACAGAGAAAAACTCAGCCGTCTTTTAATCTTTTTTAAGTCCTTTTTTCTTCTTTGTTAACTTATTAATTTTTATTATTTCGATGGAAAAATAAAATAAATTATTTTAATCCGATTATCATTCTGGCATAGCCAAAACAGAATTTCGGGCTATATTCTTGCACATATGCAAGGTAAGCTTGTTTTCACATTATTATTAAATAAATATTAGTTTTTCCTTTTAGAAACAAACAGATTGGTGTTTAGAAATAACATTGCTCCCGTCCAGGGCAAAAAGCAATATTATACGGACATCTATCCAATAAGTAGCAAAGATCCAGAGTATGTGAAAGGCAACTTTTAGTTACGACTTTCTTATGCTGTTACTTTCTAGGCTGAAATACAAAAATGCCACTTGGATTCGAGGAGAAGGAACTGAAAGACCACACATCAAAATTGGGGTATGTATAACGTGAGCGGGAGAAGTTTGCTGTTTTTAGAGTGATACGACTCCTTTATGAAGGTTTTAATTTTAAAACACCGTCATCCAACGAACGTCGTTGGAATAATATTTGAAATATGTTTTGTAAATACTAAAGCTCCAACAAAAAACAGTGCTCTCGCATGCTCGCTTCTATCACTAGTCGATGTATTCACCGAATACCGTTTTTGGTTTGTAGTTTGATAATTTTCATCTGGATAAAATCAAATCCAGTGGTTGGAAACTGGTAGCTTTTTGTCTTACTAACACTGGTGCAATTCATCCGATGCACGATTTCCTCGGTGGAAACTTGTGGCCACAACAACCAGTGCAACATCCAATAATCGTGCCACTAGATCCGAAACAAATCGAAAGGAATAATATGGAAATGATGTAAGCTCCTTTTTGTACCTAGCAAAGCATCTGCGAAGCAGGTGCATTTAAAACTTTATCAGCAGCCTAGTAGCTAAGACCTCTTAGGAGAATAAAAGTTCATAACTTTGTCTCACGCTGCCCTTGACTAGAATGGTGAGACACATTTTGAATGCTAGTGAAAATGACGA